TTGTTCCTTCACATTCTGAGCTCTCTCATATGCTTCTGTCCTGATTTTCCTTCATTCCAATTTTCCTTGTCTACATTCTTAGATAACTTTTCTAAATTCTCTTGCTCCATTGCTAGGAGGATTTTCTAAGGTTCTGTGCTTAGAACTTGTGCTATTCTTTCTACAGTTTTTCTTGGAGGGCTTGTTATTTTTAACTGTAATAAATTATTATCAACTCTATATGGCTCACTCTCAATTTTACGTTTATCTCATAGCCTTCTCTCCAAAGCTCCAGATGCATTCTACAAAAGCTTAATGAATGTTTCCTAAATATACACCAACGACTGCACTCCTCTCTTCACAGACAGAATTTCCTACTGACTTCTTTATTTCTACCAACACAATTAGGTTTCTCCCACTCTATCAATGAATCATGTTTGATTTTTCACTCCTCCTCACCACTCACCACAGAATAAATCCTTTTCCTTTATTTCTTCTATTGCTTATCTCACAGTTTCCTCTTAGTCTTCGTTCACACTTACCCTTGCCCCCATCATTCTCATCTTACGGAGTATAAGACCTTCTTGGGAATTTCTCTGATACAACCTCCAACCACTCCAAGCATCCCAATCTAACTCCAAATTAATCCTGCAAAGTACAAATTTATGATATAGTTTTTAAGCATAAACAGATCTATAATGTCTACATGTTTACAAAATTAAGTTTATCCTGGGTAGAGAAGTTTCCACACAATCCATAATCCAGTCCTGTCCTATTTATAACTTTTATTTTATTAATTGTACCATCTATTATCATGCTGTGTGCTTTACAGTAAAGTAGTTTAGTAAAATAGGATGCTAATACTTAAATACTTTTCACTGATATATTAACTGGTTACTTTTAACACGTTATTGTTGCTATTTACTTCCAAGGGCATTGCCTTGGTTTCGAAAAATTAATATTTAAATATACCTTTTTTCCTACACTCATACAGTCCCTCTAGGAACTCATAGTAGATAAAGAAAAAAGAAATATGTGCATCTGAAAGCCAAATGAAGGAGGAAAAATGTGTTGTCCAGATGATCTTACCAAACCTCCAGTTAATAACATCTTCATATTGCTTTGAGCTCACCTTCCAGCGAAATGGAACTGGATTTCTACTCTCACTTCAGCGTGGGGAGTGGACTAGGGGCAGACAGCGTGTTTCCATGCTTCATATCCAGTGACTCCTATCACCAAGCAGAGACTGACTTCTTAAGCTCCAACTAATTTGTAGTCCTATAACTCTCCCTAAACCTATGTTTCTTCATTGAAGTCAAATAACTAAGGGAAAAATGGGGGAATATTTCCTCCATTTTCCATTTTTCTATACAAATAAGACAACGAAAACATCTTAGTACAGGGTTAAGCATGAAGCTAAAGTTCAAAACCCATGTTGAACAATGGACACAATTATGAGTCCGTCCTATTTGGCTCTTTCTCATGTAGAAGTGTAACTTGTATTCTCTATTCAGTGTTTGTCCAACTTTAGCTTTTTGTCAACACCTAATGCTCCTTTAATAAACAATAAAACACTATTTTACCTTCTTTGGGTCATATTATCTTCATACTAAGCAAATCTCAAACCATTTCTTTTTATATACGTTTTGAATTTTCATTGTCTATTGAAAAATAAAGAACTCACGCTACATGCTCGGAGCATAGTGTTGAAGAATGACATGCCCCTGTGGTTCATCTCCTTAGTTTAAGACAGGAGCACCACAGGGGAGGGACTTGTTCATGCCTGTGTTTTATGAATGAGGGTGAAGTTAGGGTAATTGCTGTGGTTATAATGAATTGAACACAATATATGATATAATTTGAAGCATATAATTGAAATATTCCATAAAAAATTATCTCCTTAAAGCCCTGTCTATTGCTAGTGCTTGAAATTTATTATGGGTGGGTTAAGCATTATTCTTTTAGTGAAATGTTTAAAAATGAAATAACACTAAATAAAAGGTTTTATAATACAAAATACCTAAATTTATTGTGAAGTAGTATATCAACTTACACTGATCTTTTACAATATGTCATATACAAGTAGAAAACAGGAGCTTGAGATGTGAATGATGCTGAAATTGCAACAAAAGTCAGAGTTGAGGTATTGACAGAAACAGTCAAGTTAATCAGTTAAAATGTTACCTTTTTGGGGCTCTAGTCAAAAGTACCTCCATGTGCCTTTTCCCTTTATCCAGTAATTATCAGTTACAGCAAATGTCAGAACTGAAATGTTCTTCTCTCTATGACAAACAAATGAAAACAAAAAATATGCTTTCCATTCCCTCACACAACTCTTTTTATATGACACAACACACCTAATTTAATACTTAAATTTCAATCAAACTTTTTTCAAAATGCAAATCTATTTCTTAATTCCATAGAAACTTTTATATTTTCTTTATTATAAAAATTTAGTCTAAATTGTAAGAAATTAAATGTTATTTTGGACCTACTCTGTCTTTGATTAATTCACCCATTATTCTTTTTCCTATTGTTTCAATATACTACTACCTTATAACATCATCAGCTGAAAATATATGTCACCTGAACAAGAAGATGAGGAGTGACATATTCAGATGACCATGCTGGCTTGACATTAAAACTGGACTACCCTTGATCAAGATGGGGCAGATAAAATTTGGCTTTGGACATTCCTGCTCCTCTTTCTCTGAGTCTGTCTTCTAGCACTTCATCTATGAGCCAAATAGCTTCATGCCATTCTCTATAACTCTGTACATCAAGGCCTGCCTTCCAGTACACATGGTCCCTGCTCTAAAATGGCCCATTCCTCTCCCCATCTTAAAGGAATATCAAGGAAGTCAGAATCTTAAGTCGAATTAAACACATTTCTAATGGTCAATGCTCAGGCATTGGTTTTTATTAATATCTTTGTAAATGTCTGGTATTTTGGAATCATGGAATCTGGCATCTCCCAACTCATCTGTTATAATTTTCTTAAATTCTGACCAGTTAATGTCCCAGATGGTGGTCCTATCCGTGCCCAGTGCCCCATATCTCTGCAGAGTGCCCAAGAAGAAAGGGCATAACCCCAAGTAACAGCATGACTTCTCACATAAAGTCCCCTTTCAGCCTTTCACCCCATCCTCCCCATGTCCCTGCTGTAATAGAAATAATAAGCCCATGAAGAAACTGTGGGCAAGTGTTCATCAAGAAAAAAATGAGAATGAATACCTGCGGGCAAAACCAACCAGACATTGACAGAAGTTTTCACCATATTGGTGCCACACAGACAGAATCACTGCTTGCGCTTTTTTGGAAATGTCTTCAGATGCTACTGTTCACATTTTTTATCATTCTTAATTG